AGGCGCGTGCACTAATTGGGTTATCTCAAACATAAAAAGAGGACCGTAATTATTTCGATATGTTCCTAAGTTTATTATAATCATAATGCGTGTATGATCTTCAACATTCTCTCATACATGCAATAATATGAAATTAAGTGATTATTTAACCTTAGCTAGCACTGGTGATAATTTACTATTTCATATTGGTATCGACTATGCAATTGTATAACGAAATTAATGATGTCATGCTGAGCAAGTCTTGAGGTGTGCACAAAATGAATTCACATGTAGTAAGAATAGCAGATTGAGATCCTCTCAAGAACTCACACTCCGGAGTTCGTGAACCGAATAATCCAAATTGTTCAATCTAAATCATGCAATTCTTATTAATCCATTCCACTGACCCACCTTACACACAATCTCTTTCTCCAATGTCCAAATATCTCTCTCTCTCTCTCTCTTGAACAACCCAAATTGCACGGTCCTTGGAATAGTCGCCATTAAGTGGCATGCCTAATAAAAATGATATTAACAAGACAAATGAGAACAAGATGGAAAAATGAGAAATTGATCAGTGATGGTTTTTCTGTTTTGTTTTTTTAATTAAAAAAAAACAATACGAGTTCGAGTAGCCACCAGTTGACCATGTGATTTTTATGTCCAATCTAAGGTAGTGGACCATATGTGTTGTAAATCAAACGTGTTTGTCTAGCTAAGTATCCTTATAGTCAACCCCAAACTAAGTTAAACACGCACCATAGTGAGAGCCGTCCATTCTTTCTTTTTTCTTGTTTGCATTTATTTTATTTTCTTGTTTCAAATGTCTGTAGAAAAGCTCTATTCCTATTTCATGAGGCAGTCCACATCGATATAATGAAAGTGAGGGACTTAAACTTTGTTTCGAGCATGAACCCTAGTACCTTTGCCTCTCTTGCCCTTGCAATGAGTGGTCGAAGGCTGTGGTGCCTAAAGACGGGCCAGACGCAGCAGAGTGACGGCCCAGGAGCAGATAAATTTGTCCACATATAATGGTGTTTTTGTATCGTATCCTGTCAGTTAATCTAGTTTTGATTGCCGTTATTACTAACAAGAAATCCTATTAAATATGATATGAAAAAGCAAGGCAATAGCAGTGGTTATGGTAGTTTAATGGGAATTGGATGAGCTAATGGTATTTATAGACAGGCAATAATACATTATGTTTATCTTAGTGAGCAACTAAGCATATTAATTTGTATTCATCTATGGGGATAAGGCATGTTCAACTGAAAAATGATTAAAGTGCAAAATTAAAGCTCTAAAATTTGCTTTTTCGTGCAGTCCTACTACTTCTTTAATTTATCATTTTGATTAATCGGACAGCTGTTGTGTCTACTTGTTCTAATCTTTTTTGTCTTCACCTACTCTCTCTCTCTCTCTCTCTCTAATTACCCAAAATGCAATTATATTCTAAATAAGGTTTTGTTCCCTCTCAATAGCCATCTCTCTCAAGATTGACTTCCACGAGTCTAATTCAACTAATTTCTACTACATTTTCCACCAAAGAGGAGGCTCCTACACTCCAAAGAATGACAAGTCATTAATCATTAGCTTTGTTGACCTCCAATATATGAAACGTTACCAAGTTAGTCCTCCCCCTTCGGCCCTCCTTCGTGTGGTGTGATGAGGTTGACATGGATATGTTAGATAAAAACATTCCTTTAGTCATCGATCATTAGGTCCCACATCTACTAAACCCTTTAATTAAGAAAAATTCTTAAGTCTAATCTAATATGTAGGTTTAATTCCAGGAGGATTCTTATTGGATCCTTCAATCATATCCGTTTATCGTACATCGCACGGTCATAAACTATTGTAAATTTTTTTATTTAAAATTGAATATAAACAGTATCTGACAAAAACTGGCTGCACGATATACAATGAACGGATGTGATTGAAGGATTCCCGGGATCCTCACAAAGAGGATTTGGTGAGGATCCTCGCTTGGTTTAATTAACTGGGACATTGATTGAAATATGTGTCATACCCTGTCCCATGCTCTTCAAGCAAATCTTTCAATATCCCCAGCTCATTATGCTCTTTTTTACGTCTTAAACTGATTAAAAGCATGTAGAGTCCATTTCATGTAGATGTAGAGTAGAGCTCATCATTCATGTTTGTAATAATGTATCCTAGGTTTCTCAAATGACAAAATGTATCCTATATAGTTCCTTTTACTAGCCTTTAGATCTTTCTCAATTTTGATTGCTTTTCTTCAAGAAGCACTTTCAAGTAGTGTGTCTTAGATTACTAGTAGTTGGAATTTCAGTAAACTTTCAACGTATTTTTAATAAAAATTCTAGCAAAAGTACTTATGAGTAGAAGTAATCTCTGAATAAGGTATATGTGTCCAAATAATACATGATTCTAAATTTATAGGGCTGATTACAAGATGTGGGTCAATAGATGACCGTCTCGTACATATGATATCATACATGTACATTGTGATTGTGATTGTGATTGTGCATGATACATAAAATTCTTAAACTAGTCAACTTTCTTGTAATTTATCAAAGGACTTGGAATATATCTCAATGGACTTAAAAGTTACATGAGGAAGTAGTTTTTGTTGCTTTCATGGTGGTAATTAAATTGGAGTTGAGAGATGGGTTGGACCTGCTCTTTCTGTTTCTTTCTCTAATGTCATAATTGTTAAAGAAATATTTTGGCACAACGAATGAACATTTTCTCACTCTCTTTTCTTTCTTCAAAAGTAACAAAAATATATACATTTCTTCTTGATTTTCTCTTTCTTGTCCCTTATCTGAGGTCATGCATGGTTTCTCAAATCTAAGTTTTATGTATAAAATGTGTAACCCACATCACAAGCATGACCGTGAGAGAGCTGACAATTGATCTCAAGATTAGGTTGCTCTAAAACTAACAGTACAGAAGATTCACATATAATTATGGCAAAAGTTGCCGCTTCTGTACGTAGCTGGTGGAGAACAGAAGAAGTTGGATGGTTAAGTCAATTGCCCTATACATATCATGATATAAAAGTACTAAATATCAAGAGGGTTACACATATATACAACAGCTAAGAGACAATTATGCATGGGGAATAAGACGAGACAACATTGTCATTTATGCTAGTTTTATTAAGGAAATTAAAATATGTGATAAACCCCTTGTCCTAGACGGATCAGTATTTTTTTTTATAGACGAATTGCCAAATTTCATACCATATGTATGATTCAACACTTAATCACCCGTTAGCCCATCAAGAGTGAGATTTTATCCTAATAAACCTCGATGTATTTAGGAATAGACTTGTATAATATATTGAAATTTGTTTTGTCAATTTTGATCAAACGTGAGATTCTCAACACAAAGTGATATTAGTTTCGTGGGACTTCTCTTTTCACTTTTAAATTAGGTCATAAATCCGAATCAACATCTCCATAAAGGTTCAAAATTAACCAATTTCTTTACTTAAATGTATACATAAACTAGAAAAACAACCCAATCTTATAAACAAAGGTTTATCTGTTTTACGTACCTTCCTATGTTCTTGTCCTTGCATTAAAATAAACAAGTTTTGTTGAACCTACTATTACTTATAAGATTTGGAAAAATAATAATCAATAAAATTAGAGGCCATTTGTTTTAATTTTAAATATCACAAAATACATCCCTTAGACTCGTAAGTCTGGGAGATAAAAATGTCATTGACGTATTCGGTTAGGCTTTTTCTTCAACTGTATTCGACAACATTAGTGATGTAATATGCACCTAATCTTGTAAGTACTCAGAAAATCATGTACCAAATACGTAAAGGCAGTTGCAATAGTTGATAATTCATACTTGTTTCCTTCACAAAGATCCTCTCAGATTTGGAACCTATTATATTAAGTCAATTGTGAGGAAGAAGTCAAGCAACCAAGGTCAGACCTTGCATGGTTGAATTCAATGCCTTGGGCTCCCCTTGGGGTTTAGGCCACAATTTGGAACCTGGTTTGGTTCAACCCAAAAGAAGTTGGGGGTTTTTTAGTTGGTTTGAGTTGCATTTTCCTTTTTCTGACCCAGTTTATATTATATATGGGTTGATGGTTTTTCTGTAGGCCCATTGTCCTGTCGATCTCGCAAAAAATTGGACAATATCTTAATTCTTCCCATAACCATAACAAATCAAAGACTAGAGATTATATTCAGCAAAAATTATTTGATATGACACGTTTACTTGGAAATTTTCCTGATATAAGGAATGAGAAAGCATGCAATTTTACATCTATTTTTTAATCCAATACATTTCTCGTTCTAAGTTGGTAAACATGTTATTAGTTTTTCGATAAATGAAAAAAGAACACAATGAGCCTTAATTAGTTAATTAAAAAAACTCAACATTAGCCAAATGACATGTGGGTGATAGTTCAAACGACATCTTCCACCACCTCCCTCTCTCTAATGTTCGACCGATGCTTTTTCTTTCTTATAGTTGCTGATTGTGTGAGATTCAAAATCACAACTGAGAAAAGAACATCCCTAAATCAATAGTCAGCTATTCGATACATTATGTTGAAAACAAAATCATTATCTATTTGGAATATGCACTGAAAAGTAAATCAAAACTAGGAAAAAAAGGGATGTCGTGGCTTGTCGGGGAGCGTGAAAGCCTCCCTTTGTGTTTTCCCGACGGGGTTGGCTGGAGCATATACAAGTTCTAATGTTTTGAAATTCTTTCTATTTATTTCAGGGCACATTTGAAATTTTATTAAATAAGTTTTTAAGTTGGGTGTAAAGATAAGATATACGGTTCAAATATAATTTCTCTTAATAAAATCGTTCCCTAATTAATTGCACTTGCACTTGCACTATTCTGACAAGTGGCAACCATGCCATTATCCAATCCAAGGGTTTCGGTGTCAAACGTCAAGCACAAGTAGCGTCTAATGTGCCCAATTCTTCTAGTTGGGACCAATATGACATTGACAAGCCAACAGCTCTAGACCAGAGTGCAATCGGCACATGCTGCCATGACTTTATACACTTGCCACCTTCCTAAGCAAAGGAAATTATGCAACCGAACAAATATAAAAAATATAAAAAGGGCAGAAAATTTGTTGAATCTCATCATCTTTCAAGCGAAATTTCTCGGGATTCCTTTTCAGTCACATCTCAATCCACTTTCTGGCAAAGGTAATCCTCTCTAATCATATGTTTATGAAATCCTTAATCCTTCGTCCTCTTCACATGTTGATCTCTCTCATAAGTGAACCCACCTTTCCTTTTTCTTGCACATGAGTCGGTGAGGCGCACATTTTCTTCACAACTGGATAAGATTTGTGTGTATGGGAATTCAGTTAGAAGATAGATAGGAATCACAAGCAATTGTAATATTAGGGTTCACTTTGATGTTGTAGAATTCAGTGTAATTCCTCTGAAGTTGCGGAAAACACGAATCCTAGAACATCTGGAATCCATCAAGGGAGAGAAAATCGTCTGCGGATCGTGTCGATTGATTCATAAATGGCATTCTACAGCTCCAACTACTATGAGGCTGGTGATCTTGGTGAGTATAGTTTAACCCCTTATGCTGATATTCATGATCATCATGCTTCTCTAGATCAAGGACCAACATCTTATTATTATTCAAGCCATGAGCCCCCCACCCAAAACTCGTATTATTATTCTAGCCATGAGCCCCCCACCCAAAACTTGTTTCAGTATGATCCAACTCCATCTCAATATTATTATGCTTGTCAAAATTCTTACACAAAACCTCTATCCATCAATTACTACCCAAATGTTTATAACCCGAGTTATGATGCTGAAGCGACTCAGTTTATGATATCTTATTCCGTTTCATCCAAGTCTAATGAGCTTGAATTTGAAGAGTATGATCCTACGCCTTATGGTGGGGGATTTGATATTGCTCAAACTTACGGAAAGCCCCTTTCGCCTTCACTTGAAACTTGTTATCCTCGTTCTTCTGGGCCTGCTGCCCTAAGTCCCACCTCTTTAGAAGGTGTCACTGATGGCTCTATCGTGCCGTGGAGTGGTAAGCAAGAACCCTCTGAGCAAGCACCAAAACCCATCAACGGAAGCCAACCGATGCAGGCGGTTGAAGAAGAGAAGCAGCACCAAGAGAGGATAGAAGATCAGCCAAATCAAGTTGAGGAAAGTGAAGAAGTTGTGCAGGGTAGTTATGAACATGAGCAGCAAGTGTATAATCAAGTTCCTAGTGGATATGGACTGGAGGCCATGGATATTTGTGAGAGTTTGTTTGGGTATTGGCCTTGCCTGGCTCGTGATTTTAAGAGAGGCAATGGAAATGCTGATTCTTGCTATGAATTTGGTAGTGGTCAAGGAAGATATAGGAATCCATGGAAAGGAACTGCAGATTATCTTTTCGGAAGCTCAAATCCGTATGGAGAAATAAGGGATGAAGGAAGCAACTATTTACAATAGGCAGGATTGGATAAACTGAAGATATTAATTTGGAGATTGTAATAACTCTGTCTTCTTGTTACCCACAACTTTTTCAAGTCAGAATCTTTGCTTGTAAGAATGAATAATGATGTTGGACAAAGCATTCTTAATAAAAGCTTATTTGGAAGTGCTTATTTGTGAAGTGGTACGCACTTTTGTTTTTGGAAGTGTTTTTAATGAAAGCGTTTTTGTTAGAAGCTAGCACAAAGAAATTTTTACTAAAAAATAGTGTTTCATGAAAAAACATTTGGTAGGTGTCATCCAAAAAGCACTATAAATGACTTTAATTAACAATCCAAAAATACTTTTAAGTTTTTCTTTCAAACAATATCAAAAACGTTTCGAAGGAGTAAAAGCACTCCAAAACACTCTCCAAATCTGTGTTTGTTCTTAATCAATTCTTGGAGTAAATTATTGTTACTAATTACATTCTCTGTTAAGGCGACATAAATAACAGCAGTTAAGGCATCAGCAGGCAAACTTAGGAGGGAAAGGACCATTAGCATGCATGGATCAAAATCATCGAATGGAAGCATGTGTGCCTTATGAAGACATAATGATAAAAGGTTCATCAAGAAAGCATACGTCGGATTTGAAGATTTATAAACGATCATGCAGCTTGATGCATCAACAAAATAATCTTCCTTAAAATTTTGACAAGAATAATGAAGTTTATGTACGGAAATATGATTACGTACACCAATTTTCTTAAACATGACATATTCTTGTCTAATTAGAAAAAGAAGTATCGCTAAATTATTAACTAGTGTGCACCTCCTTGAAGTATCACATTTTACTCTCTTAAACATGAGAGATTCTTGTCTATTTGTCTTTGACGGAAGTATACGACACTAGACACAAGGACGCACAACTAGCAAGGGATGGATTTTTTAGTATGTCGAGAATACGTTCATGTACAACAAGTGTCATAATATAAATAGTTGGATACTTGATCAAATAATTTCCAATCACTTGTATTATGACACTTGGTACCGGGCTATGTTCCTAACACACTGAAAAAGTTCTCCTAACTAGGAGAGTTGAGTGTAATCAAAATACGGAGAGAATAAGGATATTTTGTATGTGTGGTTGGACAATCACATGATTCGAAATGTATATAATAAAATATTAATATATAAAAAATATTACTCTTACCACGTCACATTTTTGGTATGTCTGTCCATTTACTTTGTGTAATAAATTACTGTAAAATATTACTTATAAATAAAGAAATGAAAAAACTAGTAAATAAATCTTATTGAAAAAACTAGTAAATAAATTGTACCTTTTTTTCAGTTTGTACATTAACATCTTCACATGGTAGCTTTCCCCAAAATGAAACCTTAAATAAAAAGAAAAATTATTAAAAAGAATTTGAAAACTTTGAATTTTAATGGTAAGGATAAAATAAAGAGTAAAGTGAACTAGTATCGAGATTGACATTTTGATGTAAAAAATATAATTTTCGTTAAAATAAACAGTACTAAAAAATTTTCGATAAAATTTCAGTATAAAAACCTTCTGTGAAACCTTAGACATTCAGCTTTTGTCTGTCCTTCCTTCGCACAATGTCTCTGACACCAGTATCTTTGCTCACTCTCTGTCTCCTTCTCTTCCTTCTTCCTCCCACCGCCACATCAACCCTCCACAACCTCCTCCAAAGCCAAGGCCTCCCCGCGGGCTCTTCCCGGACAATGTGAAGTCATACAATCTCGACCAGACGGGCCGCCTGGAGGTGCATCTGGACCGCTCGTGCATGACCAAGTTTGAGACCAGAGTCTACTTTGAAAGCATAGTCAGAGCTAATCTCAGCTATGGCGTGCTCAGAGGCTTGGAGGGTTTGACTCAGGAGGAGCTTTTTCTTTGGCTGCCGGTGAAGGGAATCTCAGTGAGCGATCCGTCTTCTGGGCTGATTTTGTTTGACATTGGTGTTGCCCATAAGCAGCTTTCTCTCTCTCTCTTTGAAGACCCCCCTGTCTGCAAGCCTCAATCTCAAGGTACAAAAAAATCCCATCTTTTTTCTCTCTCCTCTCTCTACAAATTCAGTAAATTGTACAGATCTTTGAAATGAAATGTGACTTTGGGAATTCTTATTCCCCACAATTGAATTCCAATTGTCTATTTGATATTTTGATCCAATGTATTAGTGAAGGGAAGTAATTTTCGCACACCCTTTTCTCCTAAGTACATCCCGGTTTTTATGTGGCGTTTTAATTGAATAAATCTTAGGAGGGTGCGTTGAACGAGAAAATGAGTATATGGAAATTGTTTCCTATGCATTATTGCAATTTTTAGCATTAAGGTTGGTAAAATTGACATTAGAACCATGCAATTCAGGCATTTCACTGAAGAGTGAAGGAGGAAGGAAGATTGGATTTCAGGCCCAGAGATGAAGATTTGATCTTTTGTCACTTGACGGTTAATCACTTAATCTTTCTCCTCCTTTTGTTTTGTGGGTATTTTTCTCTTTTAATTTTGCGCAAAAAAGATTGAATGTTCATAGAAGCTTGTTAGGATTGTAAACAAAGGGAATGGAAAAGTGAGGCTAAGATTTGGAATCAAATGGTGCAATTTTGGAATTTTGCTCAATTGGAAATTTTGGTGTCTTTATATTTTTGTCTCAGTAGTTGCTTGGTCCCCAAGCCTGCAATATTGGTTGGCTGTCTTGTGGTATTTGCTTGTGTTTGTTTTTGTTGACACGTTCGTGGGATGGTGCAGTCCCTTATGTTCTTTTATGTTGTCAAGCTACAGCCAAACAATTTTCCATTTCTTTAATTAATACCTTCATTTAGTTTAAATTAGAATATCGCTCGGATCAAAACATGATGTTCCAGAACCTTCTGGATTGCCATATGCCAAGTGAAATTAACAAGTAATCAAAACAGAAAACAATGTTAGTTGTTTTTCAAGTTGTGTTGTGTTGTAGTTTGAAAGTGATTGTATGATCTGATCCCTCCATTTTGCTCTATATGTCATTGATGATCTCCAGCATCAATTCCCGGGTTTGCTCAGCTTCGAGTGTTTCGCAGGAGAATCTCTGAAAATCATTAGAATTTATATTAACTTCTGGTGCAGATAAAATTTCACAGCTTTCTTTGTTTTTGCTGGGACTTACCGTTACACAGGATGAAACCATCATTGCTCCGCTGGAGGTAGTGATGCTGGTGTCAGTGAGTTCGAAGCCAAAGGCGGTCATGGCTCCCATCAGTTTTGTGAACCCTCCTCGTTTCTTCTCGAGGACTGCCTTCACCCAAAGTTTGTTCCCATCAATCTTGGTCACATTCACCTCTGTCTGCCAAACCAGCAACAACATTGAAAATATATGAGCAGAAAAAAACTCCTAAATTGTCCTAAGAGATTGAATATGCTTGGTTGTTAGCTGGTTGTTGAAACCTGAATCCCGAATTTCTTCATCTCTTCTGCTGCATCAGAATGAGTTTCTTCTGTGTTCGGCTCCAGTGTTTCTTCTGGTGATGTTTCCATCTCAAAAATCTGGTCCTTGAGGAGGTTTACTTTCTGCTGCAGCTCCTGGATGTAAGTGATGGCATCCTCAACAATGGTTGCTTTGTTCATCTGAAACACGGCGAAAAACCATAGATGAGATACTCATGTTAATAATGGAAACTGGTACAATTTAAGGCAGGCAATCAAGGGCTTTGAGTACTTGCATTTGTGATATTCGGGACCAATGCGCGTAGTGCAAGTAGCCTTCCACTTAGCTTCTCCCTTCTCCTCCTCTCGGCGAACAGATTTTTGGATTTGAATTCACCGTCAGTTTTGGATTTGAAGGTCATCCTTCCCCCTCCGCTGCCCTCTTCTTCTGCTAAGCATAATTCATCCAAGACACAACTCACAGAGTTCATATTTCTGGATATGTTTTGATCAAAGTTAGTTTTAACAAGTGAGAGAGAGAGAGAGAGAGAGAGAGTAGTTTCTGTTACGAAATCATACAGATGGTCCTCACAAGGGTATCGTTCCATTGTGTGTGAGGGAGAGGAATTTTTTAGAGTCTAACTAACTAGAGAGAGAGAGAGGGAGAGAGAAATGTCCTAGACATTCAGTGTAGTACGTCCAATTGGTTAGGGGTTGTTCTAATATGTACACTTATAATATACTTTTACTGTAGTAATCTTGATCGCTCAATTTAATCCGTCGGATGAGTTTAAAGAGAGGAACAAGAAGTAGCTTGATTTCAAGATTTAGCATTCACACGTGTATAAGGTTTGCTTTTGGAAGGAAATTTTTACACTGATTTTCTCTTTATGCGCTTCTATCTTGTTTTCTAACTCTTATTTCTCCCTTAATTGATCATATCCAAAAATTTAAATAAACGAGTAAAAGTGGATAATGAGAAATAGAGTGCAAAAATCAAGACGATTGTTTTTGTTTTTGAATATATTCATGTCATGCCTGCTGGTCTTGTTGACCGGAAAAAGTACATAAACGTTTGATGGTTTGTTAGGGCAGACAATATTCCTTTCTTGTAGAGTGTAGAGTACACTTACTTTGTAAGGCCCTTCTTTCTAAATACTGTCTAGCAACTCAGCTGTGCTCCGTGTACTTATTCATGTCACATTACTTTTACCAACAGAGGAAAGGTAAAAACCAAGCAAGTTAATCTGCAATGCTCTGAAGACTTGTAGAGGGGGTTGTAGTCTATTTTTTTTATTTTTATAAATCGCCCACTAAGAGGGGGCGGGATTCAAACCAAATTGTACATATCTTCAAATAAAGGATCGTTTGGAACTGTTTTTAAAATAATTGAAAAACTTTTTAGAGAAAATATTTATAGGTTTCAAAAGCACTTAAAGTGTTTCATGCAAGAAACACTAGTTATGTGTTTTTTGTAGGAAGTATTTCAAGTAATTTTCTAGGATTAACAGACTTTTTACTAAATATTAGTTTCAAAATTTCTTTTACAAAAAAACGCTTTTAGCTATATCAAAAACAATTCCAAGTGAGCCCTAATTTTTTCGTAGTTCATCTTTTTCCCCAAAACTTCTATGGCTAAAGACTGGGCTTCTCTTTGTGTTCGTTGACCTTAAACCATCACTTGACCTAGTCCAATATGCTTAACGGGTTCAATTTCTTTTGGGCTGCGGTCAAGCCCAAACCCAAAGAGTTAAGAGTATAAACAAAAAGAACCACAACCCGGCGGCCACCACTTCCGAGACGATGTCGTTCTCTCGCCTCCTCCAGCGCGCCTTCTGCACCGCCACCCAATCCAACGCCGCCACCACCACCAACAGCATTGGCGCCATTTCCACCGACCTCTACAAAGAGCGCAACCTGAAACGCCTCGTCGAGAAGTTTAAGAAGTCCTCCGAGCTCTACCGCTTCCGTACCAAAACCCCCATTTACGAGAACACCGTCCGCCGTCTCGCAGCCGCCAAACGTTTCAAATGGATCGAGGAGATCCTGGAGGACCAGAAGCAGTACCCGGACTTTTCCACGGAGGGATTCGCTGTCCGACTGGTTACGCTTTACGGGAAAGCTGGCATGTTCGAAAATGCCGAGAAGGTGTTCGACGAAATGCCTGAGAAAAGCTGTGAGCGCACCGTCTTGTCCTTTAATGCCCTCTTGGGTGCTTGTGTTAACTCCAAGAAATTCGACAAGGTTGATGAGGTTTTTAGAGGGGTCTCGCAGAAGTTGTCAATTGAGCCGGATGTGGTGTCGTATAATACTGTGGTCAAAGCGTTTTGTGAAATGGGTTCGTTGGAATCGGCCGTTTCAATGCTTGTTGAGATGGAGAATAAGGGTGTTGAGCCGGATGTGATCACATTCAACACGATCATGAATGGGTTGTATGTGAATAATCAGTTTTTGGCAGCCGAAAAAATATGGAGTCGAATGGTGGAGAAGAATGTTGTGCCTGATGTTAGGAGCTACAATGCCAGGTTGCTGGGATTGGCTTCGGAGAAGAAAACTAACGAGGCGGTTGAGTTATTCGAGGAAATGAGGAACAAGGAAGTGAAACCTGATGTTTTTAGCTTCAATGCCTTGATCAAGGGATTTGTTAATGAGGGGAAATTGGAAGAAGCTAAACAGTGGTACCGTGAACTGGTGAAGAGTAGTTGTGCTCTGCAAAAATGGACTTTCCAGATGCTTGTTCCCTTTGTTTGCGAGAAGGGTGATTTGGACTTTGCCTTTGAACTCAGCGAGGAAATTTTCAAAAGGCGCCTCCTTGTCGATGTGGAACTATTGCAGGTTGTGGTGGACGGGCTGGCTAAGGCTTCCAGAATCAATGAAGCAAAGAAGATTGTGAAGCTTGGGAACACAAATACTTACCGGCGTTACAATTTGCAGTTGCCTTCGGAGGACTAATGTATTTCTGTTGTTCTTTGTTCTGTTTTGCGTGTTGAAACGTTTGTGGTTTTATTGCTAGACCCTTTAAATTTTACTATTTAAATTCGTGAAAGCTTCAATAATTTCTTCACTTTTATAGCCTTGAATAATTAGTACACAGATTCAGTTTCATACAGCATGGATTTCATATACACCTCAAGAGATGGAAGGTGCTGGTTGTCGTCGTAATTATACATCAACGGGACCATTCTTGCAAGATTAAGGGAAGCCTTGGTGAACGTCGCTGGAAAAGGGTAATTTGGAGAGACCAGTTCCTTGTTCAGGTTCTTCCATTCTTTTGAAATCATATTCACAGTATTTTCTTGTGCTTCCTCCATGGAAGAACCTGGATGTTCTTGTAAGTAGCACCTTACATATGACCCGTCGTGCCCACTTTGATTCTCATCCTTCAGCCAAAATAAGCACATTTTGAGAGATATGAACAAGACATTTACTCTATTTGCAGTGTTTGATATGAATCTAATTATATATAACCACCTCTGCGCTTCCAAAATCGTCCCAAAGCCGAAGAATTGCTGCTGTGGAAGACACAATTGCTGGAGTTTCATTCAACAGCTCCACACTTTGTTTGGTTATACCTTGACCCAAGAGAAAGAAGATATGCATCATCACCACATTGACACCAGAAGAAACAATACCATTCTTTAAGTAGTCTTCTGCCTTCGGCAAGTGCCCCGATTTGAACCATTTTGCTTCTACTAAAAATGCATTGCACAGACTCCCCCACTGCACGTAATCGTAGAACGAAATATCTGTTAAACCTTTCTTGAGCAAACTAGTAGTTAAATTTCATGACACTAATCCGGTTTAATATATCACCGCTTTCTTCAACGAATGTAACGGGTTCCACCCGTGCTTTTGATAGACCTCGCAGCTGATTTCATTCGTTATATTGTAGAGAGCCTCGAAACATATCTTCATGTAGTCCGGCAAGTGCTCTATAGCACCAATTTCCCATCTGCAGCATAACATTTAGCGACCAATTTGTGGTGAAAACTGGTGAAGCAAGTTAAGAAATTACAGGACATTTTACCTATTGACAGCCTCAGTGAAGAGAGTGAGTTCATCAAGCGTCCCATAAACATCGAAAATGTCATCAATCAAATAGATGAATGAGATAGGTTTTGTGAGCTGAATCCTCTCCTCTGACAAGTTTGGATCTGTTAGGCATGCCATGGACCAAATGTACCATTTAACTGGCTCGTCTCTTGCAAACTTCAGCTCCCTTGTCAATCCCAGCTCTTTCCACCACCTAATTAATTTGTTGGATGAAATAAACAGACAAATTAGGGTTTCTAAGGTACTGCAGTTAAACATATACTTTTTCAATGCGGATATATTCTCAATATTGCTGATATTGTGGTATTTCAACCTCGTAGATATGTATCTAACATGACCGCTGATAAGTTTAACCGTATTTTAAAAGTTGCAGTTAAACGCACGACAGAAAAAGACCAGTATATGTATATCTCTGCTACTTCTAAAGTCATTGTCAATTAACTTACTTGGAAATTTGAACAATCTCCTTGTGGTGTAGGGACTGAACCAAATTAAAATCCGTTTTTGCCACTTCTTGTAGCATATTTAGCCATCTATTATTCATGCCAGCTTGGGAATTAGAAAGAAAAAAGTTCTTGGCCATGAATGCGGCCAAGCTTCGGTGGTGGGGGCACCCCAGTGTGTTCTCCACAAGTCTGGCCTCATGAGGACCAAGATATGACAGTGATCTATTTAGGAGATGACCGCTCAATTTTCCAGCTTCATCAAGTGCATCTTCTCCTTCCATGCTTAGTTGTGAAGCTTCATACACACTCATCAATCCCTTGACCTCTTCACTGTTTAACATTTGCTTAAAATACTTTCCTTCTTTTTCCTTGAAAAGGTTAAGCACATCTGTAATTAATAACAAAAGTTATGCTTGAGAGTGATTGATTGGTAACGGGTATCAATCTACAAAACTATGTACATATATGAAACAAATTGTTACCGAAATTTTATTATACTACTCACCCTCGGGCACGAAGTGACCATGTTGTCTGAGTAGCCGGAATCGAAGGGAAACTTCATGAAGGTCATTTTGTTGATGAGAAAGGGCATTAGCATGACTAGATACGATTAGGTCAATTTGTTCTTCGAAGTGGTAATCGATACCTAGACGTTGAATGGCATCGATCATGTTCAAACTTTCTTCTCCTACTCTGCTCAATAGATTCCTGAATACCTCCAACTTTTGTTCATGTTGGGAACGAATGTCATCCTGCAAACAAGGTGGAGTTAATGGAATAGTGGACATAGGTTTGGATATATTTAGCTGAATGAGATTAGAGTGCCCAAGATGTAGGTTCATTTTTTGAGCAATATTTGGAGGAGTAGACATAGCAAAGATGGCCTGAGAAGAAAATGCCATGGTAGGAAGAGAGAAATGGAGCAAACCCAAAGTGAATGAGAATGACAAACCCAAAGAGTCTTGGATTATATTTATAATGGAAAGATGGTGTGTAAATCACCAGTCATGTGAAACACTCCTTTTTTTATTATTTTTTATTTTTTTAAGAAAATCTCGACCATATAAGAGAAATTTGATAACGAAAAAAAAATGTGAAACACTCTTTCTAACTAGGGTTTTTTTTTTTTTTTTTTTTTTTTTTTTTTTTTTTAAAGAAAATCTCGACCATATAAGAGAAATTTGATAACGAAAAAAATGTGAAACACTCTTTCTAACTAGGAGTGGAGCCATGCATAGATTGTAGGTGGCCTTGGCCCTCCCGCATCACTTGAGCAACCTTGCATGTGTTCAAAAGGAATATAAAGGACTTCGAATGTGTTTATAAGAAATTAGGTTATTTTTGATAAATTAATTTATGTGTGAAGCTTAACGAACATACATGCTTCACATCACTTAATTTGCTCATACTCTCAATATAATAAATTTTAGATGAAAACCTTTTTTTTTTTTTTTTCGCGCTAGAATGTGTTGTCCATTCCAAATGTACTATTGTGGTGTTTTTGTATTTGATTTATTTTTGTGGACTACAAGTCTACCAGTACAACAGGCTATACGACGAAATCCCATGGGCAAAAAATCTCGACGGTACGAAAAAATCCCTCATTATGTCATATTTTTACGAGGTTCGAAAGAACAAAATTACCTGATAAGTTATGAGATTCTGTAGTTCGATCTGTTCACTTTAACGAAAAATTATATTTTTACACTAAAAAATCAAACTTGGTGCTATTCAGTTTACTCTTTATTTTGTCGTTATTGTTAAATATCAAAGTTTTCAAGTCATTTTCATTAGTTTTCTTTTTAATAAATATCTTCGTGATATTTGTACCACATAACATATCTAAAATCCCTCTTCTTATCAATTTGGAATTCATTATTAAAATGCTCGTGTGGCGAATTTTCAAGCCTAATATATGAATAACACATACGGGGTTATGTGACCGTTGAATTTCACACGCGAGACAACTTAATTTGATATCATGAAAGAATTTGAGGTTCTATCATAAAACTAATTAGTAATATAAGGAGTAATCCAACTTACTTATAAACATATGAATCCGGAATCCCTATGATTCATTTTCAATAATAATTATACATCAATGGGACCACTCTAGCAACATTAAGAGCGAGTTTTGTGAATGGTTGCTTGGAAAATGGTGGGGAAGAAATGGAAAGATGGGCGCTGTTGGTCGATGCTGAGGCAGGAGATAGAGGAAAAGGAAACAAAAAAAAAAAAAAAAAATGAGAGCAGGTGGTTAGGGGAGGGAGGATTGCGGAGGGACAAAACGGGGGTGGGTTGGGCGATGAAAATGGAGGAGGAGAGGAGAGATGGGGGTTTGAGGAACTGAGGAGAAAAGGTTGCCGCGGACCCAAGCCGGAACAAGGGCTGGAGGTTGGAGGCACCGGATCTAGGGTTTGGGTTGGTAGGCGACAAGATTAGGTTTTTATTTATTTGTTTATTTATTTAATCCTTGAGAAGATTAGGGAGAGTGAATGAATGATGAGTTTTCCTTTGGAAACAATTTTATTCTTTTTTTTTTCAGAAAATCTTGACGGTACAAGAGAATAATTCTTATATGTCAATTTAATAAGTTCATCTTATTAAAAGTTGGTTTTATGTATCGTTTTATCACATCATGTGGTAAAGTAATGTACTACAACGATACATCATCATGAATAAGTAATTCATTGATCAATGAATTAAGTGATGGTCCCTCGTCAAAAAGGAAGAAAACAAAGACAACCATACATCATCATAGAACTACTAAAAGGTAGGGATGAATCGAGCCAGTACTTATTGTGTTGAGAGAGTGAATTTTATTCATTATCAATTTGATTTTTCATTGACTAATTAATCACATTCTAACATGATAATAACATTGTGAAATTCTTATTTGCGAGATTTTTGTAAAGACTGGCATGAGAATCATAAGTTTCTATTCTTTTTTTCTTTTAATAAGAGTACAGCCAAAGAAGGTAAAAAGAAAAAAGAAAAAAAAAGCACAATATCACTATATTCCAAAACTAGCAAGGAGAGCCAAAACCAAGCCACTCTTGAATCCAAACTATATATAATTAGAGCAACGCGATTAAACAAAGCTTGCATGAGGTCTCTGGTGACCTTTTCCTTTCTCAGACTTGATCAATCTATGCTTGGCTAATGGCTGCCCTGGTTATTTGGCCTTGTGCAAGAAAACTATCATAAAGCAGCGACTTCATATTCTCCTCAAGGCTTGGAAGGCGATGTTGAGAATTATAATCATACATCAATGGGACCATTCTAGTAACATTGAGAGCAAGTTTTGTAAAAGATGCTGAAAATGGATTTGATGCAGAGAAACATTCTTGGTTGAGAAACTTCCATTCTTCCGAAATCCTATGGACAACGAATGCTCGTGCATCTTCGTCTGAACAACCTTGGTTTTCATTCACGTAACACTTTATGTATGAACCATCATATCCATCTTGGCCCTCATCCTTCAATTAATCAAGAAAATATAATTAATCATCTTCTTTTTTTAACAGGTGCTAAACGTAACTCAAACTAAGTAAATTAAGTACGA